GTGCTCAAAAAGCGTACAGCCTTGGGAAAATGAAGGTCCTCAACAGCAACTCTATAACAACATAATAACCATATAATCAACTGTATAATAACTGTATAATCAACTGTATAATAACTGTATAATCAACAGCTCTATAGATCCACTGCTTTAGGTCTGCACCGCTTACTGATGTAAAAGTAGCTACAGACACTCACATACCACTTGTGAATTTTTATATTAACTTATTTATTTCTTATAATTATTGAGTAGTTTCAAAACTCAGCAGTAAGTCTCACTGCATACTTTTAAGAATGAAGGGAAATAGAAGCACCTAAACAGGGCTTTAATTGAAAATTTAGGTTTCACCTCGCAGCAGGGTGTTTAGCCTGAGATGGGGGACACATAGATCTGAGCATAGTTTCTCTCTTACCCGTGTCCTTCTAGCGTTGCTATATAATGTTGCACTAGGCTGGTTGGGCAGATTTGTGACAGGTGGGCATAAAGTATGCTCCTAGTATCAACATCAAAAAGCTGATATTCAAAAAGCTCTCTGACTCCCTTATAAGAGAAATACGAGACAGTGAAATTTTACTGTTTTCTGTCCTTACTGGCACAAAACCAGCTGTCTGATGTGATGAAGCACAGTTCACACTTGCACCTGAAATGTAGGAAATGTTAAACTTCTGACTTTGTGAATTCAAAGTGATGATTCCTCTTCAACACATGTGAGAGACTCTCCCCTTGAATAACCAGCAGCCTGGTAGTTATAGTCTACTAAGGACAAAAGAAGGATTCCTAGTCTATAGCCTGAGTCTTCAGACTTTAACCCCAAATTGAAATTAAACCAAGACCTTCTTTCTTAAGGAAATCTTTTATTGTTGTGCTCTGTGGTTATTTTGAGATAAGTTTTCTGGTCACTGTTATTTACATTGCTAAATACTGCGATTAGTTAGACAGTTGGGAAATACTTGGCTAAGGATGTGCATCATAGAAATGAGTTTTGAAGTCATCATCAAACTGGAGAAGAATGAGTACTGAAAGACAGGTATTTAAAGGGCGAGGCAGCGTTTGTCACCAGGTCTGCTGGACTCGTGGCTTGTGTTAGCAGTGTAGCAGCCAGGATGGGTGTAGGAGGACAAGGCAATTCTACAGCTGATGTTTGTGAGATGGGCTCTGCAATATATACAGGGGAAGTTTAAAATAAAAATGACACTTGACAATATGAATTGGAATCCAGCAGACACTGAGAGCTGTCTAACTTTGCTATAGACAGTCCGGGAAACAGATGTAATCGAGCAAATTAAAGAAAAAGATCATTATCATTTATCCTCTTAAAAAGATAATAATGTTGTCTGGCACTAACATGTCCTTCTGACTTTTGTCTTTTACTGACTCAGATAAAATTACTCATAGTTTTATTGGGTTTAACATATCATGAGAGGGCAGAAAGTTATTTTCTTCATTAACACAATTGATAATGTTATCACTTCAGCTGTGCTAATTTTTTTACAATGAGGTCTACTAATTCTTCTTATGAGGTAGCACTGGGTCCATGGACGTCGTCTGTTTCTCGGTACCATTTAACCCTTGGTAAATTAATCTGCTTCTAGAAATAATGGCAATGTTTATCTGACTTTCAATATAATATTTCATTCCTTGTGATCTCTTCACTAGCACATTGAAGCATTGCTGCCTCAGTAACTTTCACCCAGGAATCTCTGTAGCATCTGATTGTAGCTCCGTTTCTGCAATTCCTGTACCACTCTTTCTCACACCAAGTCACTTTTGTCTCTGAGCTACAACACACTTCCATTTTTTTCTTTCTTTTAATGTTTGGTATTAATATTTCCTTCATTTGCCTGCAGAGTTACAAAAATACTTTCCTCACTTCATACTAATTTGGCTGTTGTTACATAAACTGAATGCATCCAAGATTGTTTTCTTACTAAATCAGATTAAGGACTTCAGGTTTTGCCAGTATCTGCCAATATTATTACATGGAAGAAAGCATAATGTGAACCTGGGTTAGTACATCTCGCCTGATTGTAGCTTCCTAATATGCTTTAGGAGTTCACAGGAACTTTCAAGCAATGAAGATTGGTGCAAGCATGGATCACTGAAGTTTATATTAAAATAGTGTTTTATAGTCCCTGTTCCTGACTCATTAACTTTGAGGGGTTGTGGATCAGAACCTTCATGAATTTTATGTCATTTAATACTGTGGTATCTTAAAAAGCACATGTATAAACAAACACAACAGATTCAGCCTTCCAAATCTTGGTTCCTGAAATAATTCATCTGGGAAAATGGACATCCCCTACATTTTCTGGTTTAAAAATTATCCTTCTCCATATTTTTTTTACCCAACATTTAGGCATTAGGTGCTGATCAGGATTATGGCTTTTTTTGGCTTGGAATTATGAAAAGAGTAATATTCTGCCTTGTTACTTACATTACTTTCTGGTTTTTACATTCTAAAAGTGAGATTTGATTCTTGAATAAAGCTTCATTTGGGGGTCAGAATTAATTCCTGCCTAATCAGGATGATTAACATCTTTTAAAGCCATAGTCTGGTATTCAAATCCTGCATTATATGTCACTGTAACACTTTTTGTATAAATTAAGCAAAGTTGGTTTTTATTTTCTTATAACTGAAACTTATTTTTAATTTGCCAGACATGATTTAAAATAATGAGGAAAGTTTGTTTTTCTTTTTGGAAGTTGAACATTAATCTCCCTTTGGTTTTGTTGAAATTTTTCAAGAAATAATGCTTTCTCTTCCTAAAACGAAGGTAAGGTTCTTTTTTTTCAGCAAGCAGATAGGACTAGCCTGTTATAACATTAACATCTTATATTGATATATCTCGTGGTTTAAGCCCAGCGGCTGCATGGTTCTGAGTTACTGGCTGGCCTTAAACCACAACAATATATCACTAACAGCTTCTATTGAATGAAGCATCAAGATCTGCCATGTTGTAGCAGGCCAGTTGGGTCAGGGAGAGCTTCCTCCTGCCCCATGGCTGTGATTTGCTTGGGAAACCTGCACCTTTAACCTGCTTTCTTCTAAAGCAGATTAAAAATCCCAGTGACTGACTGGGCTTAACATATGCAGAAGTTGGAATATTCTCTTTTAGAATCTTCTTTTTAAAGCTTTTTTTTTTTTTTAATGCTTTTAAGTTGGACAATATTGTCCTGTGAACCCCCTAATATTGGCTTGAGTGGCAGATTTTAGTGTGGCTCAGGACAGGAACATGCCTTCAAACACTTTGATACTTATTTATATCAAATCCAAATCATGCTGACAGGTCCCAGATGTGCTTTTCCATTTACATCACTTCAAGCACCCATGTGGTTCAAATCCTTCAGCGATGTAAGAGTTGTGGTACCATGCAAGCTAGGGGAGAGAAAAACATCAGGATCCTTTAAAAAGCCAGGTAGAATATGGATCTATACCTGTGGCTATGATTGGATGGAAAGGATGATCAGTCTGATTATTTTATTTCTCAGATTTATGCCTTAGTCCACCCTTTTGTACAAGACAGTGTTTTTAGCTCATGTCCAGGCTGCCATACCATGATACCTATTCAAACCTGCCTCCTGCAGCACTAATTAATCAGCTTTTGCTTATTTTTTTCCTTTATTGGGAAAGAAAATAAAAGCAATGAAGCTGCTAAACTTTAAATTGTTAGTGCTACTTGGAGCCATACACCTGGCACACCTTTTGGCTTCTCCCATGTCTAGAGTGGCAGTGTGCTTCATGATCTGATTCCCTCAAATCAGGTCTTCTTTTCAAAGCTAGAGGGACAGCAGGGAGAGGGTTGTGGGTGCCTTAGGTATAGGTAGGTGTCATCTGCTATATTTCTGGCCATACAGGGTGTTATTGATGCAGTCCTTCAAGGTGCAGAAGAGGTAGAAAATGGGTAAAATAGTGAAGTATTTTTTCTCCTCTCCTAGTCTCCCTGCAAGTTTGGACTCTTGAGGGGCAAAATTTAGAGCTTCACAACTTTTCCCAGGTCCCACAACAAAAAGTATGGAAGCCCTGGGAGTCAAGTGTTAAGTTCCTGTATGCCACTCCTGCCCCACGAAGCACTGGCAAGGAGAACTGGGATGATCAAATGTCCCAAAGAGCTTTTGGCTGGGTGGTTTCAAACATTGCAAAAATGTTTTATATCTTATGCTGGATGTCTGCCATATTCTAGTTTTCCCACGTCAGGGTGCTCTTTATTGATCTTAGCACATTTGACCTCAGTAGCCCATTTCCACACAAAAAGAAATGGAAAAAAAATCTCAGCAAGCTTGCCTAGATGAGGCTATTATTTAATACTCCTGCTGTTTCTTCATAACTGTAATAGCCAATTACTGTTTATAAACAGAGCTGTGTAAAGTTATTTACACCGGAAAACACCACCTAAATAACTCTAAGAAGAAAATATGGATGTAACTTTTCACTGAACTGTAAAATTTGTAGAGCTACAATGTGTAAACACAGTTCCCCTCAGGATATATAGAAATTGCTGGGACTGTCTTACTGGTAATTCCCAGTATCTTGGGATTACAAGAACAGTGTGTATAGATAAAGACAACAAGTTCAGTATGCATTAAACACATTGAGGAATGAAGCAATTCAGACACAAACAATTGCCCTGCTTGGTTTTTCTCAGTCTTGGGTGACTCTTACATCCAGCTGTGAAAGTGAAGCTTCTTAAGATACTAATGGAAGGTACTTCAGGAGCCCTAGCTTGAGCGCCAAAACGCACTGGTACCTAGATACTGCTCAGATAGATTACTGTGCTGGATGCCATATGAATAATGACATTCTTGGATTAAAGTAAGACATGAAATAAATCATAGTAGGATGCTTTATGAAATTTTGAACCAGGTCCTGAAATGCCCTGGGAGGCAGCAGAGAAGGAATGAAGACAGGAGGATGCATCTTGTGTATGAACAAAAATATCTTTGCATTTTCTTACGGCAGACATAGTGTATTGCAAACTTTGTTCTTTCAGGCACTGTTCTTTGTTTTTCAGACGCTGAACTGGACATGAATGGGATGGCATCAGATCACAATACTTCCTCCAAGGAAGAATACCTCCCACACTATCTCCAGAAGGAAGATCCCTTTGCATCAAAGCTTTCTAAAGAAGCTGACATCATAGCTGGGTTTTATTTGACAGTAATTGGTAATGATTTTGTAGTTAATCTTTGAAATATGACTAAGTCACTACATCCTTTCAGGCACTCAGAAAGAAGGCTGAAGATGCTGTTCATTAGATGTGTAATTACATATTTCTTTGTACTAGAAAGAAAAATCCAGGATGGAGAGAAGAGAATGTGTTAGAAATATGGTGTCAACAGTTAGTATCAACAGACAGTGCTGCTCCAGGTAGCCAAAAGTGACTAGCAGTAGGGTTTCTAGCAAAAAGTGAAGAAATTCTCTAGTGATAGGTTTATATATTGTATTGAACAATATTTTCTGCCTAAACCCTTCCCCTTCCTTTTGTTTTGGAGTCTTTTACTGTGTGCAAAGTGACTTTGCAAGCAGAATAAACACAATTATTTATTGGTTAGTGCACACAGAAGATAATTGGGTTTGATGATTTCTATGTTAAGTATTCATAAGCCTAAAGGTTGTCATTCAGCTAGAAAATACTGGTATCTATTGCTTCTGAGGATAAACTGGTCCTTCTTGACGATTTACCTTCTTTACTTTATAGAGGTGGGCAGGGTTATGTCTTTCTTGTGTCAATACTTGCCTCAACATTTAAACTTCTTTCTATGGTTTAGATTTCCTTATGTTTTATGGCTTTAGTTCATGCAGTTTTTCACAGCTCAACAGCTGTTTTCTCAGTAAAGCTCAGCCAAGGACATATAACTGCTACACCAAACTGGGCTCCCGGTGTCAGACGGCTGAACACCAGGCTGAATATAGGGTATACAGTGTATTTCTTGACATTTATTTCAGTTTTGATTCATTGTCTTCTTGTATCAGTACTGCACAAATTACAAATATCTTTCAGTTCTACCGTCATGTTTCTTATTCACTATTTTACATCCCTCCTTCCTACTCTTTCTTACTGCCTTTCCCCTGACTGATCTAAATAATAAAATCTTTTCTGCAGTGGAGGTCGCACAAAGGCTTGAATAATGTTTATTTCTCACTTGTCTTCCGCTTATGTCTTTATCAAAAAAGGAATTCAGAGCAGCAGCAGGTGAAGCTGTATCTCAATATTCTTTCCTTGTTTTGTATTTATCTTAGCTTTTCACACGCATTTATTTTTTCTGTGTCTATGCAGACAGATGTCTTCACTGAACTGTCCAAGACAATCCCCCATCAGGTCTTTTTTTCACTTGGTTATGCGAATTTAGCTTTCATACCAGGAAATATATCTGAGTAGCTGAAATGAATACTTCCACTGTGTTGCATTGCTATATTGGCTTTGTTTAGTGTAGATTTATCCGGTTCTGAAGAAATATCCCTGCCAGATGTGAAACATCTTGAAAAACATAGATATAGTCAAATCAAGGCAAAGAACAGAAATAATAAATCTCCAGCAAAAAAACAAAAGCTACCATGGAGGCACAGACTTACCTGGGCAATGTAAGGAGAACGAAGTTATAGTTTAAGAAGGGTTGATAATCCAAATTAATCATGTACAGCTGAGCTACGGCTTCAACTTTCCTGCTTGTGCTGCTGAGTTTAACAAGTCTAGTACAGGCTGCTGGATGTCCAGTACACAGCATCAGGAAGATGGAAGAAGCAAAGTCAGGTCTTCTGTGCTTGTGAATAGATGGAGTAAAGTAGTCTTTAAACACATTTTTTTTACAAAAAACCTCCAAGTTTACCTTGTGATAATGCTTCTCATGTAAGTTGTACCTTTCAAGCCTGAGCTAGCTTAGCACCCTCGTGACACCGCTGTTAGCTCCTGTTAGTGTGCAGATCCATATTTTATTACACATTCATGTTTAGGTGGAGAGCAACATTTTAATAATATCTTGGGCTTTCAAAAATATGAGAACTTAGAAATTTATCTTTTCATTCCCAGGTAAATCTCTGAGTGACTTTTTGCTGAACCAAGGACAACTTTCTAAAAAAAAAAAAAAATCCTGAATTTCCCTTTCCACTAAGCTGATTTCAGGAAATTCAAAGCATTCATATATCTCTTAGGACATGAAGCACTGCCATGCAGAGATTTTCTGTGGCAGATCATGAATCTTATGGTGATGGAGAAGGAAGCCTAGCTCTGACAAACTACTCACTGACATCAAATTCCACTCAACAGGCTTGCTAAAGATGTAAATTTGCTTTAATTGGCAGCTTTATAGTTGACCACAACTCCCAGTAAGTAAAAACTATGTGCTCAAATAGGTCTTGGGCACAGTTGTGTGATGGGGGAACTGCAGTATCGCATATTTACTTTCTAAACTCTGTAATCTGTGGAAGATGGAAAATCAAGCTGGGGCATTCAGCTCCCATGCCCAGCAAGGGTATGTCTATGGTTTTTTATTATAACTGGTGGTTGAGACCAAATATATCTGTTGTCACCTTCTGCCACTGAATTATGCCCCCTACTCCTTTGCAAGCCACTTCCAAGAAATGGTGGCCCCTCCTGAGGATGTCCTGTGTGGACATCCTGACAATGGAAAGAGGGACTAGCCATGGAAAGGTGGGAAGCAAGGATTGCTATTGGGCATCTTTTTGTGCTTGAGGTGTGTAAGGTTCAAGTGTGTTTAAAATTTATTTCAAAAATTTACTTTGTGGGAAGAAGCTACACAGTGGGTGAACAAGGCTGGGATCTTATCAGCAAACTCGGTGGAGCTTTCAGGGTCAGGCTGGGTGTACAGTTAAGTATTGGGGTTTCATAGAATCATAGAACGGTTTCGAAGGGATCCTAAAGATCATCTAGTTCCAACCCGCTGCCATGGGCAGGGACACCTTCCACTAGACCAGGCTGCTCAAAGCCCCATCCAGCCTGGCCTTGAACACTGCCAGGAATGGGGCATCCTTATTATTTGAAAATACAAAAATACATTCTTTTGTCTTTGAAGAAAAAGAAGACTTAACCAATCTACGATAAATTCTCTGTGAATGTGTGATCTTACACCTAACTAGTTCATTTCCACATGTATTTTTTTAATTATCTGGAAAAAAATATCAAACAGTACTCATGGTTATATCGATCCAATTCTTTTTACTTTGTCAATTCTCCTGCTAGCTTTTCCATTACTGATTTGATTGATTTACTGTACAGTTGAGTAGGGTGACTAACTACTGAGTGGAGACCCACTGGCTGTCAGCTCTTTTGAAAACCCATAGCAAGTAACTATTGATTTGCAAACTGTTGCTGCACACTTCCTCAGTGTGTTATGAAACAGCTTAATTGAAAACAAAGTACTGAACTATCTTTTTTCTTTTGTTCTCTCTGGTGGTATAGCATTGCTGTCAGATTGGAGAAAAGGAGTCTTATTTGTTCAGATTGCTACTTTTATACACTTTCACCTTTCACTGCAGGTTGTGATTCTGAGCCTGATTCTTTCTCTGTAGGTGTCACATTTTTAGCCATTGCATCCTTGGCTCTTCATTAGTATATATGTAATAGTGTTGTGGTGTGATGGACAGCTTGCTCCTGGAAAAGAGCTTTTATTTCTTATCTGATGAGCCTTTTTTTTTAACTGTTTCCAATCCAGGCACACAGCCTGCCAGCACCTATCAGAGCTGGGAGCCTGCATCAGTGAGGACTTCAGCTACCCGTTAGGAAAATCTTTGTAATTGTAAATTAGATGGCTCATCTAAGGAGATTGCAGTTTCCACCACCAAGGAGTTAAGAAAAGAATTCAGATGAGCAATTAAATTAAGTCTATCCCAGCCAAACCCACTCAGATGCAGGTATAGACAAAAGGCAACTTAACTGAAATTGTCACTGGACCCCTTCCAGCTGTATGATTAGGAGGTCAGTGGGCTGGGGCTGTCTGAAATACTGCTATTAATAATGAGCAGTTGCTTCAGAGGCATGTCTGATGCAAACATCTGTGGAGTACCAGTCAGTTGAAAAAGATTCAGGAAAATGTCAGGTGCTTTTGAAAGGTATTTCAAAGTGGATGCTGGTATTCTGGATATCCTAAATATAATGGGACAGAAAATGACATTATAAGAGAAAAGGATTAAGATATATGAAAAATGCTGAGATTCATTCACTTAGTTTCAAGGAAGAAAATATTTAATATGATTTCAACCTACCTATAATTCAGATTAAATTTTTAAAGCCATAAGAATTACAGAATCACAGAATCACAGAATGGTTTGTGTTGGAAGGGACCTGAAAGTTTATCTTGTTCCAACCCCCCTGCCATGGGCAGGGACACCTTCCGTTAGATTGGGTTCCTCCAAGCCCCTGTGTTCAACCTGGCCTTGAACACTGCCAGGGGTGGGGCAGCCACAGCTTCTCTGGGCACCCTGTGCCAGCACCTCACCACCCTCACGGGGAGGAGAAGCTTCTTAATATCTAATTTAAATCTCCCCTCTGTCAGTTTAAAGCCATTAGCTCTCTTCTTATCACTACAAGCTCTTCTAAGAATAGGAAGTTCTTTAGATTTCATTCATCAAGGATAATAAAATTTGCTGAAGAAAACTAATATTGAGTGATAAGCCAGCTTCTGGCTTGTTTATTTTTAAAAATAATACAGAAAGCAATACTGTCAGTAAGAAAATAAGAAGTGTTTCCAATTAGATGAGTATTGAATTTATCACTGAAAAATTCAAAATCAAAGTATTTTTCTCCTGACTTTGGTAGACTTTTTGTTTCCACAGACACATCTATTTCTTGATTAACAGTCTGGTTTTAACCTCTGGGAACCATTTTTCTGTCTGCCTCAGGGGTGTTGCCAGGTTGGGTCTCTTGGTTTTGTGAGCACCCTTGCAAGGGATTTGTTCCATTCCTAAGCCAGAGTAAATAAATACCCACTTAATTCCTGAGGTCTGGCATCCCAGAAGACTCTCATGAAAATTACGTGGTATTCAAATTTACAATATTTGAGGAGGGTGGTCTTGCTGGGTGGCTGCTGGGGTCTTTCTGAAAAATGGAGTACATCTGAATTTGCACCACCAAAGCCATATGCAGGAAGGCATCACAAGGAGTGACTTTGCTGCCTTATCAACAGGGGGAAGTTGGGCTATTTATGACTTTTTTACAGCAGTGTGGAGGGTTAGCCTCAGCTGGTAGCCAAGTACCCAGGGCAGCTGCTTGCTGACAGCCCCTGCAGTGGGATGGGGAGGAAATTAGAAAAGCAAAAGCAGTGGAAATAAAGACTGAGTGAAGGTAAAGACAGGAGATCAATCACCAGTCACTGTTGTAGGCAAAACAGACTCATCATGGGGAATTTAAGTTCACATTTAATTACTGGTTTGGGTAATGAGAAACAAAGATGACAAACATAAAATAATTAAGGAAAACACCTTTCCTCACCCTTTCCCAGGCTGAACTTCATTCCAACATCATCTGCCTCATTGCTGTTGTACATCCCTTTGGTAGAGAATGGCCACTCTTTGCTCTTCATTCTTTTCTTTTGTGTCTCCCTCCTTCTTACTTGCCTCCTCTGCTATGGCACAGGCCTCTGTGGGCCGTGGTCCCTTCAGGCTGTTCACCTCTGGGTGTGACCCTTGCTTCCTGAAAGGGATGTTGTGTACTGTCCTGTGCTTCTACTGCAAAATGCTCACTCTGGGCTCAAACTCTTTCAGACATGAGTTAGTGAAGAAGCAGTTTTCGTTAAGGGAACTGTAAACCCTGCAATTTTTGGTAGCAGTGTGATTAGCTCCATGGGTGATTAATTATGTGCAGTGTTGGTCCCTGCATATCCTTGGATAGTAACATGGCAGGAAAAGTGTCAGCCAACATGAACAGGACCCCTCCTCATGCACTGAATTCCAGCTGGAAGTTGAAATCAGATACATTTTATAATCTTGTTTTCTTGTGATAGAAATAAATCTTTATTGTACAATTTAAGATGTAATATTAATGTATTAACTTACATAATTTAAAAACCTTATCCCTCAATCTCTCTTATAGTATTTAATAAAATTAAGATTGGTCAGAGATCGGGGTCCTTGTGATTATAGACAGATTAATTTCACTCTGTCTATATGACAGAATACAACCATTCATTCATGGTTGTATAAATGTTTGTATGAAAAACAGGGTTAATCAGAGCAGAGAAATTAAGGGATTTCTATTATGTGCATTCAGTTGATAGTTGTGCAAGGCTCAAATGGTGAAGGCAGCGTCCTGCTGCAGAGGGGAAAATAGCATTTGTCGTGGGAGGGAGATGCCTGCAGCTGATGTCTCTATGAGCTGCATAATGAGGATGAGATGATCATGTGCCAGAGTAAAATGTCTAGCCTTGGGATCACAAGTTCAGGACAAAAATATCAGAGAATTTTGAAAGATGTGCTGTTGCTATTTTTGAGAAGAATTCTAATTTGATTTGGTTTCTTTTTCCATCTTTATAGGGATTCTTTCAACTCTGGGAAATGGGTATGTTATTTTTATGTCTTCAAAGCGAAAAAAGAAGTTGAGACCTGCTGAGATAATGACTGTGAATTTAGCAGTGTGTGATCTGGGCATTTCAGGTAAATTTGCATCTTACTTTCACTCATTTTCATTATCCCACTATTTTTTCTGGCAGCAGCAAGACACAGTCCTCTAGAAGTCATGAGAGCCCAAAATGCCTTTTGCTGCTGCTATTTCTGCTCTATTATTTACATATAACAACGAAGGCTAGAAAACAACATTTCTTAACAATGTAATGGGAAGAAATGAAAAGTACAGAGGAAAAAATAGGGTTGAATTTATCAATCAGGCAAAACTCCTGCACACCCCAGCACTGGACGGGCCTTCAAAGACAGCTCCCATGTGCATCCTGGCACAATAACCACAAAATAGCTTGGTATTATGGTTGAAGGAAATGGTATTTTCTTGCTGTAGGGTGCAATAGGATGGATCAAGGTGCCTCAAAAATACCTATTTAGCCAAATATGAGTGGGGTAGGGTGGGGCATGAAGGGAAAGAATAGAAAATTGCCAGTGGCCATCAGCCTGTCAAAACTAACATTTTCTCTCTAGTGACTGTCCTCTTTCACATTTGGGTCAGGAAAGTGAGCATTTGTGTCAGACTATAAAGTAAAAACAACTTCAGCCAACTGGAGGGATTTTTGTTTCAGCCTTGCAGCCTGGTTGTCCTGGCATGAGAGGAGGAAGCTTTGGAAAGATTTACATGAACTTGAAGAGTCAAGAGCCTTTGGAGATCATTCTTTTGGCTCTTGACACAAGTCTCATACAGCTGCTCATGGCTACATGCAAATACTGAGGGAGGACTGGATGTCTTTTAGAAAAAGATATTTTGGATGGTAGACAATCTAGTGGGTATAAAGGCCTGATGTGACACAGATGACCATGGGATTTCCCCAGTGCAATATAAATGACAGTATGTTCCCATGCTCCTAAAGTCATCTGTCCCCTATGTGTTGCACATACCAGGATCTCTGCCCTTAGCTCTAGTGCACCCTTTTCCAGCCCTTGTATCTGCCAAATGCTTTTGCCCTCATCCAAAAACCTAAAATAGCACTGAACTACATAAAATGATGGCTCCCAGGCTCCCAAAATCAAGGCTAATTGTGCTGTCACTGCACGACCCTACCTCAACTTCCAGTAATTTTGATACCTCCTGGTGATCAGTAAGCATGGTTTTCTGAAGGAGACACCTACAAATTCAGCAGAAAAAAGGCTTTAGTATAACTATCTCTGCTCTGCTACCACACAAACAAATCCCAGTGATTTCTCTGGCATATCTGCTGGACAGACACTGTTTCCATCTTGCAGCACTTCGAAGTGAAAAAACCCCAAACAAACCCACACCAGCACACCAGTTTTTGCCTCTTCTGTGATGCTTCCATCTCCTTTGTGTCTTAAAATTCTGTCCTATTCTATAAGGCTCATATCTGACTCTGATGACAGTCACTCCAATGAGAGAGTGTTCAGGAGAATTTCCAAAGCTATATATTTGGAATGTAAGCAGATATTGCCTAACCATGTAAGGTGTATGTCCCAAGCATGCAAACTACAGCTTATCTGAGAACCCTTTTAGCATGAGGGCCGCCAGTTTCACTGTTAAGTGAACTACTTGGTCACTGTGTTTGGTGTAGCCATGTGTGCTTTTTCTCTCTTCTCTTTATTTTACTTATTTTTAAATGGAAGATGTTAACTGGAGAAATGTGATGCTTTCTGTCTCTGACTGAAGTGCAGATGGGACTTTTTCCAAAATCATCCTGTTTCACACGCTTTTCTTTGCACCTTGTTCAAGAAACAGGTTCAGACGCGGCCCTGCTTCCTGCAGATTTCCACAGGGTGGCACCAGCCACTTGTTCAGAGCTTCATCAGGCTCATTCTGCGCTGATGACCTGCTCTGAGTTCTGTGCTGCTGTAGAGAAAGATGATTTTGTGTAAAGAACTGTGTTGGCTTTTGGAGCTGGCAGCGCTTTGCATGGGTAAAGTTGCTGACTCTTAGCACATATCTGAGACCTTCGCATATTTTGTGGGTTTTTTTTAAACCTTGACTGGGGTCAGCTTTTGCTTGAAAAATTAAAGCACAATTATTCTGCTTGAAGAGAAGCAGACATAATACGTTGACCTGAGCACAACCTTCAGGCTCAGCCTGAAGGCTCAGTCTTAGACTAAAAGATAAGAATCCCAAATACTGTGTTAAAAAATAAGTCTTACTTTGAAGGGTTTTCAATCATGGATCAAAGGCCATTTTCTGCAAGATTTTGTTTTGGTAGAAATGTTTCAACTTTCTGTTAAGAATGAAAACAGGATGTTTAGTTTCTCATCAGTTTCATCTGAAATGGAATATTTTGGGGAACAATCAAAAATATTTTTCTACAGATCATGTCAACAAAATAGAGACTTTTGTCTTGACTTCTGTGAATAAGTTACCTTGTAGGAGTTACAGTTTGTAAGACTACATTATAAACCAGTTCACTGAGCTGTCATGATATTACAGACAGTGTGGTTCAGCCAGGGAAACTAGCCCAGGGCAGCTGAGCTGCTTTCAAATCCTTGAGGCATTCTGGAAACTCCTGTGCAGGAAGGAATACAGTCACAGGAAGGTGGAATTCAATATTTAATGTTATTTGAATGTTGCAGTTGAACTGTTCAGACCTTGGAGCATTTCAGGTCAGTCTGGTAAGCAGAAATAGAGGTTTTGTAAAATGTGCTGATGTTCCTAGACTGTAAATTTTTGAGTTTTCTGTTCCATTAAAGTTGATTTTTTTCTACTTGTCCGGTTTGAGACAAAAATAAAATAAAATCAGGAAGTGGAGATTTCCAACTAGAAAATTACAACTTCCAAACTTTCTCATTTTCATGCTGCTTATAAACAGTGTGGTTAATACTAATCTGCTATAAGGTGAAAACGGAACAACGTATGACCTAACTTCACTTCTTCCATAATGCATTACCTTCTCTTACAAATGGAGAAATAACCTAAGGTGCCACTAGGACAGTTACCAAAATAGTTAGGTATTTCCCTTCTGTTTGGTGATGCTTAAAACTTTTTAATATCTGTGGCCAGGTGATCCTTTCTGAAGAAGGGTGGTTTTATCAGCGATGGATGTTATCACTCAACTGACATTCTTTTCTCCTTTTGAAGTTGTAGGAAAACCCTTTAGTATCATTTCCTTCTTTTCTCACCGCTGGGTGTTTGGATGGATGGGCTGCCGCTGGTATGGATGGGCTGGTTTCTTCTTTGGTTGTGGAAGCCTCATTACCATGACAGCTGTCAGCCTGGATAGATACCTAAAAATCTGCCATTTGTCATACGGTAAGAAAGAAAACTGTATTAAATGAATATAGAAAATCTATATTAAGTGATATAGTTTTCTAGACTGAAATCATACTTAAGGTCTTTGGAATGTTTTTGTTAAATGTAGAGTGGAATACACAAATAAGAGAAACATATTTGCATGATCCAAGTAATCCCAGCTAAATTTGTATTGGTGAATATATCACTTTCACTGTCTGCTTAAGCCATGAGTTTTAGTAATCACTCATAGATAAATCACTTTGTGTCTATCAAGGCCTTTTAACGTTAACAGATGCAAGTATTGCACATATTGCAAGGTCTTACAGACCAACACATAAAATGTTCCTTACTAGATGCCTGTAAGACTTGTGCCAAGCTATTTAAAACATCTGAAAGATTTGGATGTGTGATGGGTCATAATTTGATATCATCTATCTGATATGGAGGTGGAATAAATTGAGCCATGAAAGCTGTTATCACCATACCTATCAATATAGTTATATATCTTGAATGCGATGTATTATATGCTTCATTCTTTACAGCCAAAAAATGTCGTCACAGTTTAGAGAAGATGTTTTTCTTATATTAGAAGGGACTAACTCCCCAGTAAAATACAGGGAATGCTCAAGGTGACTTTACATATAAAACCCACCTAGTTGCTTTGTTTTTCTGCACCAGAATGAACCATTATGCTCAAATACATAATTTGTCATTCAGTGTTCATTTTCTTTCAAATATTCTGGAAATGTAAAATCAGCTGGGGAAGGGGCACTGGTGACATTTAAATTACAGTTGTTTCTTTGCTTTGGCTTTGTATTAAGTCATTCTCAAACCCTGAAGAAAGCTTCTTAAAGTCAGTGGATGGGGAGTGAAAACATATTAGAGCTTACAAGGTGGAAGGAGATGTTATAATACCATGGCCTGAGTTTCTGCATAAATCATAGGTTTTAACTTGGTAGTCCTATCTGAATCTAACATGTTGAACAGAGGTGATGATGGAAAGCTTGTAAACGGAAGCTTTTTCTAGATGAATTAGAATTGTATGTAAGATGAGAAAGAGCATATTCCCCACAACTCCAAACATGACAGTAGCATTAAATGAATAAAAGGGCAAGGGTGCATGAAAACACCTATTACAAATACTTCTGATAGTACACACATGGTGATACACTGTACTGGAAAAGAATGACAAAATTAAAATAAATCTTTGGTATGTTATTTTCTCTGTAAAGCCTTGTCTTTTAGCCACTTAGGTTAATAATTTATTTTGAGAAGCATCCTGAGAGCAAACTTGAGTCTCTCAATATATGACAGGAGGAATAGGAAATAATTAAGTTACATTATACAGTTGCAGCTAGTGAGCCTTCACACAGAGTATTGAAAGGCTGAATTAAAGACAGTCCTTCATTTGGGTTGAAACTCCATCTCATCTGATCACATACTACGAACACACCTTTACGGACCACAAAGCAAGTTTCAAAATTACTAGGCAAGATTCCCATGATTGTTGTTGAGATACTTGTTTATATTGCTTTTGTACGGACTCTTCCAGGTTGTAAATGATCGCAGCCTAAAGTAAAGATCTGTCAAGTAGAGCCCTCCATATGAGTGTGCATTTGTCTTCAGGAGGTAGAATGCCAGCAATGGTGGCTAGCTCAGGGGTCACTATACCTGGAAAGAGGCAAGATGAACCATAAAAAGTTGTCAAACAGCCAAAAAAAATCCTACTGCATGTGTAAAGTGAGATGTCCAATTGTGTCAAATACATATTGACCTGAAGTTGTAACTCTTGACTTATCTTTCAGGTACCTGGCTTAAGAGACATCATGCATTTATCTGTCTGGCAGTAATCTGGGCCTATGCTACATTCTGGGCTACGGTGCCTTTCGCTGGTGTCGGAAGCTATGCCCCTGAGCCATTTGGCACTTCCTGCACTCTGGACTGGTGGCTGGCACAAGCTTCGGTGGCTGGACAGGCTTTTATTCTGAGTATTCTTTTCTTTTGCCTCCTGTTCCCAACTGCTGTGATTGTTTTTTCCTATGTCAAAATAATTTTAAAAGTCAAATCATCTGCCAAAGAGGTTGCTCACTATGATACCAGGATTCAGAACAGCAACATACTTGAAATGAAGCTGACCAAGGTAGGTAGGAAGATTTAACTTAGTTTGTTCTGATGGGTTGTAAAAACAGGCTTGGAGATCTTCAGCCATGTACTCCGCTATGCTAAGCAATCATACAATGCTCTGAAGGTGGTTCTAGCTTTCTCCTCCACTACTGTCAAAAAGACAGGACTAAAAACATAATGTTGTGAGTTGGGCACTGTTGCAGAAAAATTAAAATATGAACTGTAGGCAGAAATGGAAACTAGCTATCGGCCCAGCACTGGATGCACAGAGATTCTATTGACTATAAGCCCAGTAGCATTCTAAAAAGCCAGTTGAGTTCACAAGTAGTACGGTTTATTCATATGCAACATATGGTGGCACGGACAGTGGGATTGATGCGCCCTCAGCA